CCTTGTAGATAATCTAATCTAGTAAATCTACCTTTGCCCGTCTTAACTGTTATGTCTACTTTGACTGTCTATAACTAGCCCTTCATGTCTGAGAAGATGTCCTACAACCCATGTCGCCATTGACATAGATAACACCCTCTGTTCTTCTACTCATTTCGAACATTCTCTATCTACAGTAATTTTAATGAATTATTCCTTAAGTTTTAAATTTTTGAACAACTTCAATAATATTGTATCGGGCTACCAACTTAATTCGAGTCAATTTATAAAAAAAATCATACAAAATAGGAAAGAGATTGGACTTCTAGGAAAAACGGGAGGCTCTAATAATATCCGTAGGCCGCCACCACAACATCAGCTAACAAGGAAATTCGACATTCGAATTTGCAAAACATTCGTTGAAACCAAGAAATGTAAACATTTACCAGTACGTACGTTGACTTCGACGTTGTTGTTATTTTTGCTATAAATAAGTGAAGGCATTTATCAACTTAAGTAAAGCAAATGAAAAGATCGATTCTCAGGCGAAATATTCACACTTTTAAGTGCTAATTTACTCCAAACGTCAAACATTTCTTTTTCCACGAACAAAAAGGTTAATAAATGCTTCTAATTGCAACACTAAATATTACAGTACATTTTCTTTGTAAAATACACCTAATACATTTGTACTTAATGGCGTATCTAGATTAATATCTGTCCACTGGGCTAATTGAATCTGGCCACCCTCGGCATTTCTTCACATGCATAGAAAGTAAAAACAATTGTTATAAAAAGCATTTATTTGGACCCAATTTGGGCAAATGTCTAGATGATGGCTGGGATCGAAAGAGGAGGTCTCCCCTACCACTGTACCATAAAAAGTTCGTGGCGGTCTCACCCCCATAAAAAGTTATGGGGGTTAGATGATGGCCCGCCACCCCCCTTAGGGGGATCGAAAGAGGGTGGTCACCTGAGTACAACCCCATATAAAATTTACGGCGGTCTCACCCCCATAAAAAGTTATGGTTGGAAGTTGGTTATTTTGACAATTTTCATACACT